GCTTAGAGAGGCCTGAAAGGCCTATGAAGCGGTATATAAGTCTACTGCTATTGCTATTGCTATTGCTCTCACACACACACACACACACACACACACACACACACACACCTGGGGAAGAGTCAGGTAAAGCCAGGAGGGTCCTGGTCACATGAGCCCATTGGCAGAGCTGTCTGCCCATCCCAGTGCCACCTGGGCTGTAAGGGAAGGCTCCTACGTGGCTCTCACTGGCCTGCCCTCTTTCTCTCCCTCCCCTCCCCCACCCCCACCCCAGTGGGAGAGCAGGTGGTCGTCCGCTCCTTCCCCATTGCCTCTCTGACCAAAGAGGAGAAGATTTCAGCCCCGACTCCCTTGGATCAGTTCATCCAGGAGGGCTGCGCTCAGCTCCAGCTGCGCTCCTGTACATTCCAGGTGAGGGTGCATGTCCCTTGGGGATCCTTGGCCCTCCCTCCCCCCCACTTCCAATCCCTTCAAGCCAGTGCTGAGGGAAGCCAGGGGAGCGAAGCCTGAGCCTGCCTCCGTCTGCCCTCCAGGTGCTGCGCATTGTCTTTGATGAGGAGGTGGCTTCCGAGAGCGCAGAGACCTTCCGGAAGCATCTCAGCAAGTTGCGCTACCCCCAGCACGTCTCTAATACCTTTGCCTTCACGGTGGGACAGATCGGCAAGGCCGCTCTGCCTGCCAAAGCCAAGGACAAAAACCCGTCACTCAGGTGGGGGAGGGTCTCCCTGGCAGTCGGTGGCGGGGGGGGGGAGCGAGCAGCCCCTGATTTCCCTCTCACCTTCGTGGTCAATTAATGTGGCTCTGAGCAAGCCTGAAGTCAGCCAAGGCTCATGGGAGAAGCTTGCCAGCCCTAGTGCCCCCACGTGAGGGCGTCAGAAAGGGGTGGGGGGGGGATGCTTGGGGTCCCAGCTCCTCAGCTGATTGGCATCTCTTCAAGCAGATGCTTCCAAGTCCAGCAGAAGGAGGGGGAGCGTCTCCTCCTGATGGGCCTTTGGAGGAGGAGCTGCCAGGGGTTCGCAGGGGAGTCACGTCTTCCCCCCACTCTTTTAGGACCATCTCCAAGAACCTAGTAAAAAATGCCAAGAAAACCATCGGACGCCAGTACGTCACTCGCAAGAAGTACAGCCCGCCTCCCTGGGAGCAGCGGGGCAGCCAGCACCCATTCCCCGAGGACAACGAGGACGAGATCTCAGGTACGGCAGCTTCCCCCCCCCCCCTCCTATCACTCCCCGGGCTGGGCAGGTGACGGGCAGAGCTGCTTTCTGGCCTCTCTCTGATGCGCCTTTCGATCCCTGCAGTGTCTGAAGAAATGGAGCGGAGCACCTTGACCCCTTCGGCCGCCATCAGGCCCTCTGACAAAATGACCATGAGCCACCTGGTGGAGCGAGCCTGTTGCCGAGACTATCAACGCCTGGGCCTGGGCACCCTGAGCAACAGCCTGACCCGCTCCAAGAACGAGCCTTTCCGCATTTCCACTGTCAACCGGATGTATGCCATCTGCAGGAGGTGGGCCGGTGGTGGTGGTGGTGGTGGGCGTGTTTTCTCTTCCAAGCCGCCTTGAAAGTCTAGATGCCTGGTTGGCTTCTCCCCACTTCTTGACCGGAACAGAGGAGGGAGAAAAGCAAGCCAGGACGAGCGCTCTCCCCATGCTCAGCGGTTGCCCCTGGAGCTTTTATGGGGGGCTTCGATAGCGCCTAAAAAGAAAGAAAAGCAAGGAAAACCCCAACTGGGGTCATCAAGGTCTGTGCCGTTATAGCAGCTCTAGGAAGCCACGCTGGTGTGCCAGAGATGCCTCGGTAGGAATGAGCCAGTCGGGGGCTCTAGGAAGACCTAGATCCAGGATGGCGAACCTATGGCACACGTGCCACAGGGCACGTGAGATGTTGCCTTGTCAGCTGAGTTCAACCTTTTTTTAAAGGCGTTTTTCGCTCTCCCCAGGCTCCAGCGGCTTTAAAGGAGCCTGAAGGGGAGGGTGAAAAGAACCTCCCCCCCCCCCCCCCGCCCGAGGCCCCTCCGGAGGCTTCAGGAGCGTCTAGTGATATTTTAACTGTTTTAGATAGTTTAGGTATTTCCGCCTTTTCTAAATATTGATTTATTTTATCTTCTGATATTAACCCTTGCTCATATAGCTTCTTATAATAATTCTGAATCGCTTTCTTTTTCTCTTCATTTTGGTAGCAAATTTCCCCTCCATTGTCTATTAATTTGTCTATCAGCTTCTTTTCTCTCTCTCTTTTTAACTTATACGCCTGCCATCTTCCTGGTTTGTTAGCATTTTCAAAGACGTT